AAAAACCTCAAAAGCTTACTCGGGTGGGACTCGAACCCATGACCTCTTGCTTACTCGTGCAGATGTCTTAACCACTCGACCACCGAGCTTGCTGGGGTTGGCTGGCTGGTCCGAGTCAAATGAAGCAGCGGTACCGCGAACTATTTTTCAAGATGTATTTTTGCGTTGGGGGGATGTTAATTATATATAACGGGTTTGCCCTTAATATACGTTGGGTAAGGGCGAACCCGTTATATATAATTAACATCTCCCCAACGCAAAAATACATCTTGAAAAATTGTTCCTCTTTAGTTTTTAATGATACAAGTGGAAGAGAAGTATGAAGTAGAACAAACACGAGTGTAAGAAAAATTAGTTGCTCTGACTATTCAAAGCAAATGACAGACACTTACAAAGCACACATCCTGCTTGTCCATCTTGATGTCAAGCTCCTGTTGAAAGAAGAATAGGCATTGTAATCAAGGTAGCACTTGACCAGTAAATTCTTCTGATTGGGAACTTGGACTTCAGAGAAACAGCGTGACCCTCACAAAAATTTGCAATGCTAAAAAACATACTAACTTAATGAATATTCATAGTTAAGTAAAAGTATTTTTTAGAAACTTTGGAAATGAAACCTACAGTTGATGCTTGAAGTAATACTGATGATAAATGTATTCAAACAGCAACACTTTTGATGTGTGATGAAATGTGTCAATTATCATTCCATTACCATAGAGCTGCCCACATGCTAAAATGACAGACTGGAATACACATGTATATTGTGTTTTATGGAGCACAGTAAGATTTCCGTATAGGATGCCTAACATCCACTGCTTTTGTAGATATTTGCAAAACACTACCTGTGCACTGACCCGGGCTGTGTACAGGATACATGAAAATTGAATCATATTTCTGGAAAATTCCCAACACACTTATTCTCGTCAGTTGCCCATGTATATCAAGTCTTTACGTTTAGTGTCTGCTGTTGAGCAGTGGAGTGAATAACGTATGTGAAGTCTATCATTGCATGGCACCCATCAATGGATCTTGTATTCAAAACACATTCTTTTTCAAACAATTCCTCTGGACAATTGTTGAAACTTGTATGTATTACAAAATGTCTATTTTACGTGAACATATCAACAGCATTTCAGGCAAAACAGATTTCACAGTTTTACTGACGGTGATACATGTATTTCTACATTTCAGTAAGCAAAATTGCATAAGTATTTGTAAGGTTTGTGCCATCTTTGACATTTGATTGGCAAGCTTTGTAAACTCTCAGTTGACCGTTTGCATGCATTGCAAGTTGCCCAAATTCTGGAATCAAAAGAGTCTGGACATACCGGGCTGAAATTCTCCAGTTTGACGTAGCAACTGGTGCTTTCCCCCATGCAGGAAGGTGGGATGTAGGTGTGCATCAGCATGACGTTGGAGAAGCGAGTGGTGAGATCTACGCAGACCACGATATCGTGAGCAAACTCCACCCACATGGGGCTCTCTGGAAGAACTGTAAATTCAATTCCAAGGGGGGGGGGCATTAGCTGGGGATGTTTCAATCCACATGCCTCTAAAAAATCCAGTGTTTTGTAACTACATATATGCACACGTTGGGCTGACACTGTGTGCCATCACTGTTGGAAGTCATTTTGCAGAGTTCTTGCCTACAGTTTTTGTCATACTTCAGCTGAGACTGAAATGGACTAGTCTACTCGTTCATGTACTTCAATCTCTCAATACATGCAATAACTTTGCACATTCTGAAAGAACTTATATTTTTGAAGATACATGTACCAGGTGTACAGATGTGAGGGGCACTTGTACCGGTACCACTACTGGATGTTGTATTTCGATTTGTGTCTTTTTATTGTGTTCTTTTTATGTGTCTTTCTTTAATGGATCAGTGCCATAACACCAGTACCTTATTTCCAAGGTATGTCTTTAGGTGTGATATCCCAATTTTGTTTGGGGGAAAAGAAAAACTATAAAATAAAAGCGGAAGAAATAATCAAAACCCCTTACGGTGGGCTTCACCCCACATCCTGCTGCGAGCATTGATCTCCTGGGTGTGGCCGCAAGGATTAATGGGATCGCAAAGGGAGCGGGCTTCATTCAGGTCGTGGCAGATCGCTGGGTACTGTATGCCATTAGCAGAACAGTCATTGCGCACATCTAATGATGGGAAAGAGCCAGTGCACCAAATTGTCAACATCAGAGTCCATAACTTCCACGGCTTACATTTTGAAGAGTTCACAGCAATGAAATTTTCATAGACGCCACAAGGCTGCCACAGAAAGGCCATTTTCTGAGTTTAGGATTGAACTGAACATGGCACTCATCTACAGAAATGAGTGCCAAATTTTCTAAAAGATTTTCTACTCCCAAACCAAACATCCAAAACAATTCAATCTCCCTGCATGATGCCAGCAGACATCTACCTTCCATGACGTCTTCAAGGACATGCGAGACCTTCTTGGCCTGTCTGATTCTCTTGATGAGGTACTTCGTAAAAATGCCAGAGGACTGACCGTCCACCTCCCAAGCCTGTGTGTTGGTCTGCCTGTTGGGTTGGAATAGTCCATGCACAAGGAAATGACTGTTAATTATATACTGATGACGAAGATGATGTTGATGATGTAGATGGAAGCAGTAATGACAATAAACATCACTGTGATGTTGATTACCATTTGGCCTACATGTACATGTATGTCTATGACAATGACAATTGTGCCATGTGGGAATTTCCATGATAAGGTACATGTACATGTATTTCACTTCTACGTTTCAATGGCTTAGAAAATTGGGCCAGCAATATATGACTTGCTGTGAGTAAAATGGCTTGCCTTCAAAGTTGGGACACAGTACATTGCTAGCCTCTGAATTTGAATGGCTGGCCCTCAAATCATGGTTACAAGCCAAAAACACTGAACTACATGTATGCTCTCATTTTATTTAATAGGGAAACCCTTAATTGTAGTGCTTTCTTACAAACTGTACTTTGACAACCACTTACGCAGCATAGCCAAACACTGTGTTGCCTCGGACCTTAGGCCGGAACTTTTCAGGTGGGTCTTTCTGTGGGTAGTCATTCCTGAAGAAATATTATAAATGATTTTAAGGCAGGCATTGTGCACTTGTTGAACTCCATGAGTGTCACAGTCTCTGCTCAAAAGCACCACTCACTGCCAAGTCAAAGCTTTTGCACAAACATACTGTAGCAGCACTTGGTAACTTAAGTTCAATAATTGCTACTTTGAGTATGCGTTTTGGCAGCTGTTGATGCATAGTTGCATCAACAGCTGCCACCATCAATGGCCATCTTGAGGTGAAGATGTGGAACTGCTCAGTGCAGTGGAATGAAAACAAGAGAACACAAAGCAAAACAAATATCGTACGGTTTTCGGCATATGTCAAGCAACAGCGTATTGAGGGCAGTATTTCTGTACTGCATAAGATCCAAGACTTCCTGGTCACAGATGCACTCCTTCGTTGAGTAGCCGACCCCGGCGTCCACTGGAACGAGGTAACTTTGGCCATCACTCTCGAAGCCATGACCACTGAAGTAAAACAGGCCTAGGCAACGAGATATGACAAACATGAATACAAAGTACAGAGAGGGGATGTCTTTCAAAATACAAATTTAAATCCACCAACACCACGTACAAAGCAAGTAAGCACATGTGTTCATGTGTATGTACACTGTATATTTGCTTGTCCAATAAATGGGGTTACATGTACTGACCAAGATGCCTCAATCGCTCAACAGGACTGACTCTTAGTAATGTACAAGTATTCTTTGCAATATCTCTTGCCCAAAATCTAGTACGGGGCAAAGACATCAACACTGTGTCAGTGGATGGACCTCTTCTTAATTTAGACATGTTTGTATTCTGTACTGGGTGATGTGGAGTTCACTTCTACAAAGTAGTGTTTATCTATTTGATGAAACAAAGGATTCTTAAAGGATTGTGTGGTTCAAAGCATGAGGAAAACCTAAAGAGAGGGCAATAAAGGAATTTTAAGTTTAAGAAGTGTGAGGAAAGCCCAGCAATTACATTCCAGAGAAAAACCCTTATAACCTTAATCAGGAATCTGAATCAGGCATGAAAATCCCTAATCCACATGCCAGAATTTATAGTAGGGTTCAAAATGGGGTCATACTGGAAAGTAACCCTGTGCCCACCAGAACTCCCGACAAGTTTATGCTTCAAGTTTTCAAAGCTACTTACCATAAACTCCAGAGTTTAGTAGGTCGCAGAAGGCACTTAGAGCAAACCTCATCTCTTGGAGGTTCAAGTCCAGGAGAGACACCACCTTGAAATCCAGCTCTGACAGGACCTTGGTCAGGTTCTCCACGTCACCCTCAGGGGCTTTGAGCTGCTCTGCTGAACGGTAGTCCATGTTGCCAATTAGCAAGGCCACCTTGTCCGTTGCTAAAATGTAAGGCAAATAGTGAGAAACAGCTTTTTGATAACAGTGTGTTGTCCCAATCATATTTGTTGCAACCAACTTCATCATCAGGATACAATTTATTTGGAGCTACTCTGCGAGAAATGTTGCCAGGCACAATGTGGAAGCCTACTGGGAACCAGTTAGGAACCAGCTACTGGCAGCATACATTGTACATCGCATGACACTTTGGCCAGCACGTTAGAAGAGTTCACATTTCCACATTTACAAACACGAATGTGACAGAGATAGGAGTACAACACCACAGGACAAGTTCAAGCACAACCAACCATTAAAGGCGCAGTCTCTCTGTGGAATTATGATTCTTTCTTGCAAGCTGTCTTTTTGAAGAAAACAATGAAAGGTCACGTGACACATCTAAAGATGCATTTTTGGAAAACCGAAATTAGAAGTGTGTGCAAGCGTTGACTCACCCCACACGCACGTGTGGCTGCATTCAACTGAATGTGAGAATGTGTCCGACATTCAAAATATGACTCGGCATTTTTCGAACGGAAATCAAAATCCTAGAATATTCTTGCTCTCGGAATATGCAATATTCACTGCACTAAAACTTCATCAGGTTTGTTCTTAGGCACACATCTTTAGATTTCAGTAATTTTGTTGCCTCAAAGGAATATAATACACAAATAACAGATGATGAATTGTACCTTTAACTACAGTTTGACCATTGTTACTCAAATGGCACATAGTTGTACTACTATGTCAACCTTTAGGCATGACTAAGCACAGAGGTAAGCACAAGATTAAGCACAGAGGTATCTACTGGCAGAATATACATTGTGTGAGATCACAGAGACTATGAATGTAATTCTGAGAAATGCAACCGACGCAAAACAGTCCAAATCTGAGCACTGGCTTTTACCATAGAATCGACAGTTGGAAGTCGGTGGTGCCAGACCACCACTAATGTTAAGCATAGCCTCATTGGAGAAGACACAGGCATATTCGTTGTATACACGACACTGGTATACGCCATGGTCTTCTGGCTTGACCTGAAGAAAATGGAACTCGGGTTGTTTGGCATCTGCAACAAAATACACAAGGTTTGGATAATTCAAGTGCACCTCCTAGAACTATTATCATTTATCAAAGCAGTATACGACAAAGTATGCAAGTATATTGTTACATAAAATTCTAAAAAACAAATCAGAATTTACCAAAGATCTGATCCATAATCCTACTCAAATGCAAATATCCAATATATACAAAATCCATATCCTGCTGATATCGAGATATTTATTCAATTTAAGTATTATATACAAATGTGCTTTTGTAAAGCAGAGAGAATTTACTCCAATCAACCTTGTGTTTTCAAGTCAAAAGGAGAGAGAATTTACTCCAATCAAGCTTCTGTTTTCAAGTCCAACTTCAAGTAAATGCATTTTGATGTGGAATCCCAAATATATGTAGTTCCTGTGGGAAGGTTGCATTTCATCACTAGCTTTCCAAGAGAAGGACAGATCTATTAACCACTTCCTGCTGGGGAGCCCGGTTTTGGCACTGTGTGTTTATATCATGGTCGGGGTCTCTGAAATCGGACAAAGGGAATAGTGGAGAAAATCCAGCCTTGTTTTGAAACAGTATACCACGGTTTGGGACATTTACTGTGAGTGGATTACCACCGGGGACAAAAGCACTCGACCAACGCAGGGATGAGCCACACTGCACCGCTGCACACTAGACTTGCCCCTACTGAAAAGAGGTCGGCAGCGCACTGTGCTAGGTTCATGAACAAATGAAAGTTACATAACAACGCACAATCTGGGCTCTTTTTACAAGGTTGCAGGCCTGGCTGAAATACTCGGGCGTCAATAGATTTTGTCTGTCAGACTAGAGTGTCCACCAGACAGTAATTCATGTGTGTTTAAATTCCATTAATTGCAATGATGAATTTTTGAAGAATTTTAAAAACTGAAAATCTTGAAAACGTCCAGATTATGTGCACTGTATTTTTCAAACACCCCGGCAGTAAGTGGTTAAGCCTTACCCACTGTGCATATGTCAAATGTTATAACACATGCCAATATGGAGTGCGTTATAATGTATCAAATAAAGAGTACACATGTCACGAGATGCATGTATATGAAGGATATTAGTTGTGTAATTACTAACTGTGATTAGTCAATATACCGAGAGACAGGCTTTTTAAGAAGTACAAAACTCTTTCCTGCCCACATCTTTTTAGTTCCTTCCTTTTTTCTGCAAATGGCACAAGGAGTTTTTTCTTACTAGGAATTTCTTGGTGATTGTGGTACCACTGGTAGTAGAGATTTCCCTGGGAAACAGCGGCGTGACAGGCCAGGATTTGTGGCTCCCCAATACGGCAGGAAATGCTCTGGGGATGGCGAACAACCTCAATCTTATCTGTAAATAAAACGTGTAAAAAGCCAAGAAGAACTACATGTTCGTATACATCAATGAATTTCAATGTACATGTACCTGTGATTTCAATGGACAGCCATGGTTTATAATCTAGAAAAGAGACTGAAGTTAACTGAGGTACCGGTAAAAAAAAAAATGAGAGTTGAACCCAGATTTCATGCGAGACTTTGATTTTCTGTGGACGTGATTTTGCAAGTTACACATACAGAAGTTAAAAGTACAATACATTAAACATCTGACTGTTTATAATATACATATAAGTGGCCTGACTTACTGAATCTACATGTTGGTCTGAAAGAAAATATATGCTAGAGCCAAGAATCGTCCCACCTCAACCACAGATTCTGCACCTTGACTGGCCGAGGGCCAGTAATACCATGCATTTATTACTTTTGCCATCTGGCTCTGCATGGCCATGCTTTTACGCACTGTGAATGGCTGATGTGTTGCAAACTCTTGGAGGTGCCCTGTTGTGAATTGTCCATATTCCCACTACTTTGTAGAAATAAACCGTGCTGTATATGTTTTAATACACCTCCTAAAATCATGAGCAAACTTACAAAATTACACAAATTCAAGGCAGACATACAATTTGTTTTGGAGCTGCAGGATTCCTCATTCCTGGCAAGAACTAGGATTCCATTAAGATAAAATGCCACAGACTACATGTACATGTACATATACATGTCTACGATGCGGGAAGTTTTGGTGCTGGAAGAAAATATTACCGCACAAAGTCAGTTTTGTACGCACCAGGATGATGTCACCTTGGTGTGTATCAGTCCTTCACAGATGTGCTACAATTTGCTCATGAATATTTATGAGGTGCATTTATTTCACCCACTGTAGTTCTATCCATCCCAAGCCCCTGCAATACCATCAAAAGTCATCCAGTCTTCAGCCAAATCACAAGCCATTCATATTAACCATGACAGAAGCATTTCTCATCCTATTACTTGCGACTGTTCTTGCGAAAGACTTGTGACTGGAGTGAATGGACTTGCCAAGGACAACATTACAAATGATTATCTTATTCGATTAGTGTCTTTAGAATAACTAGAAGTTTCCTGAAAACATGATTATACATGTATTCCTTTTGTAAATACTTTATGTAAACTTCTAAGGAAATGTTAAAATACACATAAAAAGCTGCTTCCAACAATTAAAAAACCAACTGACTATAATGATTCAGGAAATAATGTACACTATGCGAAAGTCTGAGAAGTATACATGTATGTACATGTATTGGTAGATTTTACTACAAAACACATACAGAAAGTACATTATGACATCATAGCTATTCATAGCTATTTTTTGGGCAACATGGCTTTCACATCCAGCTGCACTGGGTTAATGGTTTCACTTATCTGCTGTGCTCACCCGATTGAACAGATGATTAAGATGACGTTACAGTCACGCACCCATTTTGCATTCCAAAAGAGGGAGCCATCACAGTACATTAATTCATTGCATTTATGGCAAAACATGGCTGATTTCGGGACCACAAATTCCATTCAGAGGTCCCAATTTTTTTTATCAAAACAAAGAGCACGTGCAAGGACATCCTGCCAGTGTTCTACAAATACAGCCACTGCTATAAATGTCTTGGGCAAAGACAAAATAAAATCAGGAAGAAATGTACACCGCTCATTCTGCGCAATTTTGCACCTATGGGCATGCGGGATAAGTGAGACCGTTGTACTGGTACGGTGCAGAACCCAATGGAAGCCTTTTACAGGTGGTATGCTGGAGCAACTTGTAAAGATTCCAAACCTACATACTGACGGGTTTCAAATAAATTTCTGTGGAAGGACATGGACCAATTATGAGAAATACACTGCCACGATCATAGACCTGAAACGCTGGAGCTTGAAGCAGCCCAGGGGAAAACCCCAAGTTTCAGAAATCCACTCGAGATCCTCCCGAAACTCCAAGAAACCCTCAAAATGTACTTTGCGGTACTTACCAGGATAGGACTCAGCAAGCCTTGCATCTGTAAAGGAAAAAAAACAACAGCGAATGGTTGAATGTAGTATTCATGGAATTTTTTGACCGAAATAAGAGGGCCTGTATTACAGGAGAGTAGACACCAACAGACTGATTGCGACTGCTAAGTTGTGTGATCTATAGTGGGTATCAAAATGTATCATAAGTGTCATTTATCACAAATAAAACCGACGGTTGGTAAAGTACTGAGACAACTGATGTGCTGGGCACTATATGGAAATCAGCATTATTTTTGGTAAATAAACTATGGAAGGACGCCACGTTTGTTGATATTTGATACCCACCAGTGTTGTATTCGAGTCCATCACAAGTCATTCAGTCTCAAACAATTCACAAGCTATTCAAATGAGCTGTGACAAAAGCATTCTTTTTTCATTGTTCACCCTGTTGCTGTTTTGTCACTGTTCACAATGTTACTTATGATGATCCGCCAATCGGTCTATTAATATACACAAAAGCGACCATGCTTCAATTTCACCATTTTTGCCAATATGAATAAGCCTTTTGCAAGTTAAATTGAATAAAATCTGGTACAATAAATGAGTTCTTTAAATTTACGTGGACCTAACAATTTTAATGCTTCATACTAAAGACACCGTTGCTTTACCTAGTGTACATGTAGCTTCGTAATAGACACCTTGCACCAATACACTCTTTTCAATGGATAAGAAGGGCGCAAAGGAACAAGTCCATTCCAGAGATGGTGGTCGCTATGCAAAAGCTTGCCCGGAATCATGAAATATAGCAACGGTGTCCTCAGTCTGGGGAATTCAAACTGTTATGTGTATGTGTAATCAGATAACCCAGTGTACCAGATTTTATTTAAATTTAACTCCCAAAAGGCTTATTGGACTTTTATTGCTGAAACAATACACTTCCCTTCCTCCAGAGTAAACATGGTAAAGAAAGGTCTTACACCATTTTCGAAACAAGGTCCTTTTGTAAACATCTGACTGAGAAGATGTACATGTAAAAATGCTGCACTCTTAATTGGAACATTCAACTCGTGCACAAAACACTTGGAGTTGGGTTCTCATACTAACTGTATTATAACTTTTTTTTAATGAAATTGGTGAAACCTGAAACCCTTCAAAACAAATAGTTGGATTACGACCGGCAGGTTCATTGAAATTTGGAGTGCAAGCTCTTGTGTTTTTGCTTTATATTCCACTTAAAAGCAAATGTGAAGCAAAGTTGATATCTCAAAGCATTCTTGGCAATATTGGCCGACGCATGTTGCAATATCTTTGGACATACCGGTATGTAGTAGACAAAAAATTTGAAACTTTGCATTCACATTTGTGTGCAAAATAGGAGAACATGTATAAACTGACCTGTAATCTTCAGCTCAGTACAAACAGACTGAGATGACGTACATGTACAGGATGTATACATGTACCTCAAGTACATGATTGGCATTCTCTCCATTAAAAATTGCTAAAATAAATTACTTGGATGGTTCTGGACCAATGAATCTGACTAAACTGGTGCTGCTGCACTTAAATGTGTGTGATTTCACATGACTGCTATGGCATGGCTTACATGACAGGCCAGCCTGGCTTTGGAGGGTCATTCATTTGTCTTTAAGTGATAGACAGGTACTACATGTGTACGTGTACTCACCCACATTGATGCTGACTGTGATGCTGGTGATGCAGCCAGCCTTGTTCCACACTCGGCAGCAGTATTTACCCTGGTCCCCGGTAGTGGATTGGGCCCACTGAACAAAACAGAAAGCAAATGATGGGATGAACTAAAAACCAAAAACAAAATTCACTCCCCTTTCTAATAATGAGGAAAAGTATTTCTGAATATACTGTGTCAAATCTAGAAAACAAGACAACCATTGGTCGATGTGCTCACAGACTCTGCATGTACATGTACATCTAGTGTTGTTTTTATTTTGGGGAAGTACCGTCGTTTTTGTCAATAGGCTGTGGGATCAATAATATCAGTGCATTTACCGATATAAAGTCCATACATGTATTATAAATGCTTTATGATGCATGTACAGATATTACAGACTCTTTTTACTTCTATGGATTATACATACTTTTTCTAAAAATGGGGAGAAGAGCTTTTTTTAGATAGGTGACAGCTGAGTGCATCCTGAGAAATGCAAGGAAATCAGTTGTCACAGCCATACAACAAACCAACGATTCCTGAAACAGGAAATGAGCTGATACAAGGAAAAAAAGTCAGCCTACATGTACGTGCAGTACTGAGAGCCTGTACGTGTACCAGTAAAACAGTGTGCATTGCATGAAACACATAAAAATCTGAAGTTAATAATATTTCATCCAATATGTCCAAAGCAAAGAAAATCAACTTTTTGACATTTCGGTTAACAGCCACTAGGGAAAAGTGGCAACTATGAAAAATTTACGCTATACTACAACATACATTTGCACTGTACATGTTTATGTTTAAAGGCAATGTACAGTACACGTATCTGTATTTTACTAGCAGTTAAATTCATTCAAAATATTTCATGTAAATGTATTTGAACAACATATGAAGCACATCAGATTTCATGATGGTAACAGGCATACATGTAAAGGATCAAAAATGTGGCTAAAACTACAACAGCTAGGTCTCTTTCAAATGACATATCACTTCTTACAGATTGCCATGTGCTTTGGCCATTTGGAGATCAAATTTTCTTGACCCGCATCAGCTGTGCCATATTTCGAAGACACTCGGATCAGCCCATCGAAAATGTTTGGATCAACCCGTATGCATGTACATGTAAAACACTTCCACACTGCACACATTGTGGCAGAGTGCGACTGTGAATCATGGTAATTTCACCAGTATACATGTACAATGACAGTGACTTGCCAGATACGGTAGAACAGGTGGTCAGTATGTTTCGCCAAGGGAGCCTTGACAGTGACTGTTTTAGGTATGTACTTCCACCAATGAATTATCAGCGTCCTGTATTCATAGCTGGCAGTTCTAGTGTGGAATTCACTCGGATGTCACTGGTGTTTCCTTTAATTCGACTTCCTTTCCAGTTGTAGCTTCAGGCTTCAATTTCACGAATGTAATTCCCTACGACTAGACCCTCTGGCTTAATGCACCATCAAATCTGTCTGTAATACTACAAACATTTCAATTTGGGTGTTGCTGCGACAAATATGAAAGACTGCAAAATCACACTGAGCTTGACCTTGGTCTACCTTGATACCTTGTTTGTGATAACAATGTAAAGTTGCTTCTCCAATGAGAATACCCTCCTCCGCAAATCCACTTATAAGCACACTATTTTCCAAATTGAAAATGTACATGCACACACATACATTGTAAATTCACATTCCACAGGGCAATGCATGTCATTTGAAATGTATAACGGACAGATAGACATGTTTACTAACAAGAAATGTTTTAAAAAGGATTCTGCAGCCCAGTGTGAAACAGAAACTAGAGATGAGGCGGCAAATGGGAAATAAATGCTTTGGTCTTGTATCCAGAAAACACTTATAAGAGCAGTGCCTATAGAACCTTACGTAGAGTGTTTTGTCGGTCTGGTCCCTCAGGGCATGGGGCTCCAAAGGACCATCTCTGGATGAGTAGCCGTACCGGTACCACTGGTACTTTGGGGTAGGGCAACCAGTGGCCATGCAGGTGACCTTGATGGGCTTGCCTGGGCGGACAGAGAGGGACACTGGGGGCTGCTGGATAATCTCGGGTTTTGCTATGTGTTCCAAGTCTTCATCTGAGTCCAGGAAATCACGCTCATTATCTTTAAATCAATCAAAAAATGGATTAGAAAAAATCAATACTAATCAAATTAACTGATGTAAATTTGACAATAACAAATGTACTAGTACAAGTAGTCAAATACCTGCTTAACAGGTAACTTTCTAAAAGTTGTGGGAACTACATACAGGTACATATTGAAACATAGATGTGGGGACCAAGGATACTGTGGGGATTATTTTTTGTCCCCACAAATTAGACATGTACACATATGCTATTAACTGAAGTTGTTTCATACCAGGTAAACATTTTCCCTTACATCCGTGCAAAAACATAAAATTATATCATTATTTACATGTTCTTTGGCATAAAAATGAGCTGAAGCATCTACAGATTTAAGTTACACAACAACTGCAGACAAGGAAACAGCAACAAGTACAACTGAGATAATGTACTATTACAAAAACTGCATTGAAAAGACATGGTTTGCAAGTTTAATGAATGAAGGCAATAGAATGGTGTATCATAAAATCTGTGTTTATAGGACGGTGGACATTCTTTGGAAAAGTTTAGAAACTCTGTAAGTTTGTTGGTATTAACTTCTGTGAACTTCACAATTTGGTTATAATTTCTATCCATAATTCAAGAGTTGTTTACATATGTGGTTTTTTAGAACAAAATCATGAAGAGAATTTGTTCATGGAAACTGTCAAAACAGACTGGTGTTTCATTGATAAAACAACAAGCAACACATGCAATGTACGTGCATAGACTTGCAGTGTAGTGTCCCATACATAAATGAAGAGCCGCTGTAGTCTTCTGTTTTCACTATGGAAGTTTATTTCTTTTTTGAAGATATAAAGTATTAAGTGTGGAATAGTTAGACTCGTTTCGGAGAATGTTTTTAGCTAACATGCATGCATACATACCATAGCTAGCTGGGTACACTTCAAGATAGGCCCAGTCTGTGAATACTTGGCTTATGGCTCCATTGATGGTATGGTACACTTTGCAGCAGTAGGCTCCACTGTGCTTCTCACGAACTGGACTAATCCTCAGGACCCTTTTGGGTAAAAATGGCCGCAAGGAGATGTTCATTAAGAGAGTCTTCTTCTCAGAAATTGAGAAAGATTCTCAAAGAAACAATGTACCATTCATTGTTCCTTTAGGTTTATTTTCTTAAAAAATTGCTGTTTTAAAATTCTGTGTTAAAATAAAACATTTTTTTTCTCCTGCTGTCATTTTTACCTAAGACTACTGTAAAATAATTTTGTTACTTTTCACCTGCATACGAATACACCGAGTTGCACTAGTCGTCACATATTTTAGATTTTCGAAAGTGGGACATCAATTTTTGGCATTATATTTCATTCTCATATTGGGCATTATTCTCAGTTTCTACGACTTATTGCACCAGTAAATATTTTACAAAGGCATTTTGGATGTGATTTAAAAATAAATAAATAAATAAAGGAAAAAATAATCACAAATGCTAAAACTTTTGCATGCTACATGTACATTTACCAGTATTTTCTAATTCAAGGGTTCCAAAGTGCATTGTCTGGGGTTACTTTCAGGCTTTATAAAGTGTTTACGTCATACCTGTCTGTTTCATTTTCTAGCTCTTCTAGTTTGACCTCCTTCTGATCTCCACTGGTTTGGGCAAATGCCCGGTACCAGCAGTATTGGGGGTAGGGGAAGCCCTTGGCATTGCAGGCAAGCACAACCAGGGAATGAGGGCCAGCTTGGACTGACTGCGAGCACGGAATTTGCAGGAGACGGAGCTTTTCTGCGACCAACAAATGGACCAGTAATTGAGAAAGACCAGTGGGTAAAACTGCATGTTGGCTGACCCAGTGACAAGGTCAGGTGGTAGTTTTTCTGCATTCACATTTGTTCCAAATAATCACTGACAGGAATAAACTGCACAAGAATAAAAAACGCCTGTATGCAATCAATGCATGCCTTAGGTTCAACCATATGGGGGATTCATCAAGTCGACCTTTTCATTCAGCTACAAATGTAATAGCACGACTCAACATCAGGGCATCATCAACGGTATGAAATTTCGGTTGAGTGTAAACACACATATACAAGTACTGGTACCAACCCTTAGCTAGTGGAACAATACATGTACATGTAAGTCAGAAGAAAAACCTAGCGTCTAAGTGGTAGTACATCATATCCTGTTCTGTGCATAGATAAATGAACCAGCTTCTGCAACTCTTTTATAACACCAAACATTTGGACGATATTTGTGTCAAATTGGGCTTTATGTGTAACTGAAAATACACAAAACCCAAAAAAAAAAGATTCTTGCCATCCGACCAGTTTTAAAAATGACTTTCAGAACCTTACTTCCCAGGCTGGATTATTAAAAAAGTCATCACCTGTCTAAAATTGTCGTTGAGGCATTATGTGAATCAGCCAAAAATACGACGTTATATGTGAGAGTTGTTCTGGTAGGGTTTTAAAATTGCTCCATGTGGTGCTATCCATGTAGGTAACCATGCACAATACAAAGACATCCATTATGTGATAAAACATACTGTCCGTGTTCTGCCGTCTCATCATGTCCTCCCAGGACAATACCAACGTTGTTGGAATCTGCAATGTTGATTGCATCTGCTTTTCAAAGTTCAGACTAAAATTGGTTTGCTGATATCATTGACAAGATTATTCTCATCACAGGCGTGAGAACAAACCGACTGATCATCACCAACGCTGTCAGAAAACACACCAACGCTGAGACTGGTAGGCTTGGAGCCCTTCATTATTGTGTACAAACTATACAACAGCAAACAGTTGTAGGTACCCAGTATTTCAACTCCGGTGTACTGCATCACACTTTAATGAAATGGCAAAATGAAATCAACAACTGTTGTTTTTCTTTTTGAGTCCACTGGACCTCAAAAACTGAGAACGTTCTTCTCATATTGAGTTTGAAATACATGGTTTTAAAAAAATGAGACCTTGTCTCTGTGATATGGGTATACATGTACTCTACATTATAAGACATACAGTACATGTACATGTATTGCAGAAAAATTTCCTCCATCGTTGGACTACATCTGTAAGTGGACTTATCAGATTTTGCTGACATACATGTACTGTACATTAGGGAATTGGATGCAGAAAAGGCAACGTTCCACTACATGATTGGTGCTTCTGATGATGAGGGAAAAACAAAAATTAGAATGTGCCATGTAAAGACACATGCCACGTCGAAATGACACACACCTGGCTTCTTCAGCAGACTTAGACACTTCTCGTGGGACATCTTGTCCAGGTAGGATATCAGCTGACGAACAGTGCGCCCCCTGCTGCCAAGATTGCGCAGCAGATTTAGCGAGGGGCTGCCGTAATACTCGTGAATTGCCAGGGCAAACATTTCAATTTGGGTGTCGCTGCAGGGAAAGATGGAAGACGGTAAAATCAGAACTTGATCTATCTTGACAGCCTTTTATTAATGCAGAGCTGCTTCTACAATGACAGTACTTTCCACAGTCAGTACATGAGCACACAATATGCCAAAAATGTGAATGTTTACTTTAAGAGTGCAATTGTAAAAACAATGTGTGAAGTGCATAATTCAACTGTATTTTTGGCCAGAGCATTCAGAAGTCACACCACTGAATGTATCGAATATAAGTTGGTAACATGTGACTGACAACCCATCAATACAATTTATTCAGGTGTTGTATGCAAAACAAATAATTATTAGTTTAAAAATTTCCAAGAGGTGACAGATGGGAAATTTCCTCTTGCTTGGCTTTTACAATGTACATGTACTGTGCCATTGAGTAGAATATTCCTGTCACCTCATGAAATTATTCTTAACACTACACTCATCAGTATTCATCATATTTGAATGAAATGAACATGAAGAATCAGCCCAATCCCCTGTTCTACAATTTGATGTACATGTATATGTACATTGTACTGGCCATGTCCAGCATTTATTGAGCTGCAGGGTTCAAAACTCACAGGACAATAGCATTAAACTGAAACACACTTGCAAGGTTGTACACCATTTGTAAGGCACTGCAAAAATAATGCATGATTTTGAATGCATTGTACTGCATGCATTATGCCATCTGTGATTTGGTTGTATAGACATATGTACGTGTACATGTACATGTGGATCATGTCCACGTACATGTACCGGTACATTGTATACGTACATGTAATATAATGGGCTCTTTATGTTCTGTGAATCTACATGTATCCTATCATACATAGTAAATCATTTGGCGTCAGTTTTATCTCTTGGGGGAGGATGAGTTACCTTCATGTGGACTTACTCGTATATCTGGTCTGGTATGTTGGCAATCAGTGCCCTCCAGTTCATTTTGTTGCTGCCCACATCTAGGTATTCTGAGAGTTTCAGCAGCACAGAGAATGGTATATCACTGATCAGCTTGTTAGGGTCCATTGTACTTGTCAACATTGCAGCACTGCCTGCTTTTTAAACTACAGGACTCGATCCTTAGCGCTGAAACAAGACAATACAGTGATCCATTACAGTGTGAACATGTATTACACTGTGTGAAGTCAAAACTAAGTTTCCACTGTACTGTGACAGAGTCTGAAGTGAACTTTGAACCAGCCACAGAAGTTACTGGTAAAGGTACATGAACACTCTTCTATGCTATCAACAACCAAGTACAAATGTACATGTAACTTGACAACTACATGTAAATACCACCATGGGAGGTCGGCACCATGTGCTTTAAGCAAAAACAGTTTAGGTGACACAAACCTGCCACCTCTGAATAAGGAAATGAGGTTAAAACAACGACGGCAACACAAACCATGCACACCTACATGAACAGGTACATGTACATGTACAAAAAATAAGTTTGTAACAGTGTCAAAGACATTTTGGTAGAATGCTGCTGATTGGTTGCTGATGAGTTAGAAAATCAATCTCTGAACGGTCAAAATGGGCAACACAAGCCACCTTAATTGATATCCCTCTGATGTCAAGCAGTGTGATTAAATGCTCTCTATTGGAAGTGAAGCTAAAGTACAGTGTACATGTACATGTACAGTACATACATGTACATGTACATGTATAGACTTGTCCTCATCCCAATCACGATTTTTGCCCGGTACCAAATAGTCACTTACTGTAATACTTAGGGGACAAACCAGTAGCAATGTGCAGAAAGGGTCGTGTACATGAACATGCAGCAAATAGGGACTAGTTTACATGTACATGTACAATGTAGGTGGAAATACATGTAAAGTTGAAACTACATTGTAGGAACGAGGTTGAGGAGAGTACTGTAGTATGGTGGACAGTGGTACATGTACAAATCGCATTTTCTTCCAATTTACTGTCCTAAATATACCAAAAAAAGGCAGCCCCAAAAAGCCACGGTAGCATTATTGACAAAACACTCTTTGAGGCTGCATACCTTTAGGGACCAAACTTTTTTGTAAGAATGGTCTGTAGAAAGAGTACATGTATTAGAAAACAGAGTGGGCCCAATGGCAAAAATAAATCCTTGTGCGTGCCAAACAATGGCTACATGCTTTGCCAGGCATGCACAAGGGAAATCCACTACAAACATAGGGCGAGGTTCCCCTCATTTTCTCCTCAATGACGTACATTAATGTACGATAAATGTACATTCAAAATTTGCATCTTGGCATGAACAGAAAAAAAACCTTTTATAGCAGGTAGTTGAGCTTTGAAGACAAATGATGCTACATGTACATTTGATTGGGATGCTTCAATCTTTATTTGAACAGATAAAATCAGAGACAACATGTCTTCCTTAGAGGAGCTCTTTAATTATACAAAATGAATATTAAACTACATGTAATGGCAACATCTCGGTACATGTACGGAGTAAAGCGACAGCTTTTGTTCACCAGGCAAACAGTCTAGACATACATGTACAGGTACATGAAGAAAAAGCACACTGTGTTCCTTATCTTTTGCATCCTGTTCCTATGTGTATAATATGGAAACAAAGTCTACTTTTATGAAATAACTTAAATGTACATGTACAGTGCATGTACATGTATCTATATTCTCCTTCATGTCAAAAAGATTGTGTTAGTGAAAAGAGGACAGGGAATTGGTTTTTGAAGGAAATTACGGTGGAAAAATGGCAACATACATGACACAACGGAGAAGCGTGAGCATTCAATAAAGAGGTGTGAGCAGACAAAACAGTGAATGTACTGGTAGTCTGGTTCCTTCTGGATGATGAATCTTGATGAATCTGTACATCACAATGGCTAGGTTGAGTAACCAGATTTAAAACATTAATGGTGTGACCCGAATGAGCGGCAGGTTTGCCAATATCTGACTATTTTCAAAATTTACCTAAACTACTACAGTGTTAGGAATAGGTCTGCAGAACAGATGTTCAAGGTCAAAATGTTTGTAACAATTGATGGACTTTGTTTCCTCATTCTGGTCATTACAACAAAAATAGAATACTAAAGCTAAGGAACACTGAGTGTTATACGCTGTCAGATACTGATTCCCGGTTATGCTCGTAAGAAAAGATTTAGCGAAAAGTGCCATATATAAATAAAAAAATCTTTGCGCAACTTGTTGACGCTTTGTTAATGCTCGTTGCCGCTACATAGCATGACTCTAAACAGCAGGCCCACTGACTCGCAGGAAAAAGTCCTAAATTGTACCATGGAGATTTCCTACCTCCATGATTGTACTCACGTGGCCCATACCAGATAATGGGACTGAGTGCGAGTGCTGATGAGTTTTTCACTGTCAATTGAGTGTCGTAACCGGCGATAAACGTCTCCGATTACACAACGAAATGTCGCAGAACTTCCCCTCTATGCACCTTCATCATGCTCATGCCAAAACTAAATGCTTATTATTATACTTATGATATACAACTGATTCATTGGTTGTCGACGAGAATTCCGGCATCGTCGAAAGGTATTGCCCACGCACAGTATGCGTTCCAAGTACGTGTGCGTGACTGAATTTGACCTCAGGCCAACCACTTATCTTTTTTCATGATAACACATACACGGTGTTAGGCTGATCTACGCGAAGAGCTCACTGTTTTAGAAGAAAATTACTTAACAAAATTGAACAATATGCCTATGAAAATGCAACAATTTCCACTTGCATTCGGTGCATAAATTAGTAATAAATATCGAAGGATAAATTATCCCGAACTACACGTTGGGTTTTAAAATTCGCGCTAAATAAAGAAAAAAATTGGGAAATTCTGGGGAAATCCCTTTTCGTCTTTTTGAGTCTGGTTCCCTGACAAGAGAGTCTTTGACAAAATTCAGAACAGGTATCATTTACGGTTAAAAAGTATTTTCATTTCATTTTCAGATGTACTTTATATACTTTATACAATATGCAATCGCATGAAATACAAACTAAGTGTTGGCAAGAACTCCCTTGAAAAACTGATCTAGCGGTTTTCATTTAATTTTTTCCTGCACTGTGGTCGCAATCTGACACATACGAAGTGTACAGCAACAGGACGTAAGCGTGAGACTATCACTGTGGCAGGATTTTTGCCCGTAAACCATGTCTCGATCTCTGAACCATGAACCAAACTCACCCTGTAAACTACTACGTTTTTGTGCTTCCAGCACTTTGCCTGCAACTTCATAACTATTGGGAGGGTATTCCCGCAGTGGCAAGTCGAACTTGTGCGGACGGTATTCGAGTCTGCACCCAATTGCAACCACCCACCACTACGCGAATACTTTTTTTTAAACCTCAAGTTAAAATTCTAAGAAACATATAGAAACAAAATGAACAATAATGAAATAGCCCTGCACGCGCAGGATTACAATGTACCTGGGGAAAAAAATAGATGCTGGCGTGGTAGGTCGGTGACTTGGACACAGTTGCGGCACGATCCTGCTTAAAATTAATCAATTTTTATTTTTTTCCCTTGAATACAAAACGAACTTTTCCATCCTTAGGTGATCAATTTTTGCCGAAGCCGCGGGGGGGGGGGGGGGTTGTCGGGGCCCGCTGTAGGGCCTGGGAAATTTTGGATTCTAGATGGTCTCTGGNGGGGGGGGGGGGGGGGGTTGTCGGGGCCCGCTGTAGGGCCTGGGAAATTTTGGATTCTAGATGCTCTCTGGTGCAACCTTCGGGACTTTCCGGGCCAGTTGCTGCTGTAATTTGGCCCCAAATCTGCTTGCATTTACAAAATGAAATAATGACAAGAATTTTCAGTAAAACTATAAGCCAATACACACGTACGTACATACTGCACCACAAAACTCGTTGCATTTGTGTTGTACAATAGCAAAACTCGACTGATTCTGCTAATGTGCCGCGCCTGGTGGCCTTCAATTGAGGCTTCTGCAAAATAAATTAATATGACATATTGGAATAAATCCACCAAGTTCAATTCGACAAGTTTATGATGAAAATTGTATCGTGCGTATTTGTTCAAAATGGCAACTGACATCGTCAGCATACATTACCGGCTGGGTTTAAAAGATGCCTTCTTTTTCATCCGGGCGGTGCCTCCATTTTCTGTGTCACAGGTTGGCTCTCGATTGTCATGGTCGAGACCTGTGCCGGTCCGATAATTTGTTTTACAAGGAAAATCTGCTCGAAAGAATCCAAACGGACAGCTTCTTATGTTGATCCTCAAATAATCTTATTGCTAGAATACACTACAAATACAATCACTCAAAGTACATGGCGATATACAAGAAATACCAACAATGGATGGACAGGCAATTTAAAACATACACTTAAATCAAAACACAGGATTCAAAGCAATCCAATCAATAACTGGAAAAGGAACCAAAATGACTTATACAGAAAAAATGCAATCCCTTATACAATCAAGAAATTAACAAAAAAAAAAAAACAAAAACTAAATCAGGCTTAGCTGTGATCTTGATCTTGCTTGATCCAACTTGACCATTGGACATGGGTGCAGCTCCAAATCCTTGGTAGTCTTTCGCTAGGTCAAGAGACTCACAGATCCAGCATGGTGATGGGGAAAAAGGTCTAAGTGAAGACGGTAGAGAGACGAACCGGGTCGGCTCCCCAAAGCGACATGACCTATGGGCAAATACCCTGCAAAGACGAATGCGATACTTTTTGTCTTGGGAATTTTATTGGTATAGTCAGATAGTAAACTCTGAGAAGTCGACTGGTGTAAGCAAAATTGCCTGGCTGTTTTTATTTTGAACAAAAAATGTGTTCAAAGTTCCCGACAATCTGTACTAAGATTCCATACAAGTAGAGCTGTACTACCTGCATGGCGACAGTTAAAATTCGGATTTCAAAAGAGAGCCGTGATGTACGGCCCTACACCATGGCAGTGCCCACTGCCCATGTCAGGTGCATGTAGAATTGTCATTGTAACGATTCTTTAAGTTGTTCTTCAACTTATTGCAAGCTGGAATAAGTATTTATAGAATGTAAGAACAGCCATACCGTTAGAATTGTTTGTAACCAGACTGAGGACTAGGAGGGAGAGGATTTATTATTACCATGTACTGCAAGTAAAACCCGTTTCACTTTTTCCCGCCATCTTGTTTTGCACCATGCCATGCGCCCTATATAGGGTGCAGATTAGTAGTAGTAAGCAAGGGCTGATTCAAGAGCATCCCCCTCCTTTCCCCCCTTCCCATGTGATTTCCGGACTAAAAGGGACTTTCCCCCAGACCACGTGACTTCCGGTCTAAAAGGGACTTCCCCCTTACCACTTGACTTCCGGTCTAAAAGGGACTTTCTCAACCTAAAAAGGGACTTTCCGCTCAACGACGACGACGTCACACAAAAGTTGGGGCCAATACCGAAAAAAAACAAAAAAAATCCCAACATTTCTCTAAAAGTAAAATGGGCCCAACTTTTGCCACTAAATTTGAATACGATAAATTAGTTGCTGTTCACGCGGCATGGTTAACCACCAACGGTTACGAAACGAAACGAGCAAGCAAAGCTGGACGTGCAAAACCAAAAGTATCACATTTGCTTGGTGATAATAACCAAAGACGGAAAACAAGTTTATAAACCAAAGGAAATATTAATTCCCAATGATTAACTTGTCGCTTGAAATTGAAAAAAAAATTTTAATTTCCTTATATAGAAAAGAAAACTATAAAACAAAACTATAAAACAAAAATGTTAAAAAAACAAAATCAACGTCAATTGTTTCTTTTGCAAAGACACGGTTGAATCTACTGCAGGAATATGTGCCCTCTCCGATGACCCCAACTTTGCCAAATTTCGACGATCCCAGGCCTTTAGTGCACCAATATAGGCAGCTATCTTTCCGAGGAAAGCGTAACCTTGACCTGTGGACAAAGGGCAAAAGTAAGCATTACTAAAAGAAGCCCTCTAATCTTTCCTATGTATTTTCCCGAGCAACGGCAAATGTGGATATGAAACTTACACCAATGGATGCAGGAATATGTGCCCTCTCCTATGACCCCAAGTTTACGAAATGTCAACAATTTTCAGGCCTTTAGTGCACCTATATAGGTAGCCATCTTTGTGAGGAAAGCGTACCATTGACCTGTGGAGAAAGGGAACAAGTAAGAATTACTAAAAGAAGCCCTCTATTCTTTTGTATCTATTTCCCAAAAACGGCAAATGTGGATATGAAACTTATGCCAATGGACACACGAGTATGTACCCTATGAGGTGGCACCAAGTTTGCCAGATTTGGACACTTTTTAGGCCTTTTATGCTCCACTATAGGCAGCTGTCTTTGCGCGTAAAGTGCACTCTCTCCATGCTTGGAAACGGAAAAAAAGGCAGTACGATAAGATTTAGTGCCTTCTTTCGTGTATATTTCCCTAAATACAGCAACTGTTGAAAAGAAACTTACACCAATGGATGGAAGAACATGTTCTCTCTTAGATGACCCCAATTTTGCCAAATTTCGACAATTTTCAGCCCTTTAGTGCACCAATATACGCAGCTATCGTTGCGGGGAAAGCGGACCCTTGACCTGTGGACAAAGGGGAAAAGTAAGCATTACTAAAAGAAGCCCTCCTTTCTTTTGTATTTATTTCCCGACCAACGGCAAATGCGGATATGAAACTTATGCCAATGGATACAAGAGCATGTGCCCTATCAGATGGCACCAAGTTTGCGAGATTCGGACACTTTTCAGGCCTTTTATGCTGCAATATAGGCAGTTGTCTTCGTGCGGAGAGGGTACTCCTCTATGATTGGAAACGGAAAGAAAGCAGTACGATAAGGTTTAGTGCCTTCTTTCGTGTATATTTCCCTAAATACAGAAACTGTTGAAATGAAACTTACACCAATGGATGCAGGAACATGTGCCCTCTCGGATGACCCCAAGTTGGCCAAATGTCGACAATTTTCAGGCCTTTACTGCACCAATATAGGCAGCTATCTTTGCGAGGAAAGCGTACCCTTTACGTGTGGACAAAGGGAAAAAGTAAGCATTACTAAAAGAAGCCCTCTATTCTCTCGTATGTATTTCCCGAACAACAGGAAATGTGGATATCAAACTTATGCCAATGGATACAGGAGCATGTGCCCTATCAGATGGCACCAAGTTTGCAAGATTCGGACACTTTGCAGGCCTTTTATGCTCCAATATAGGCAGCTGTCTTTGCGGGG